GTGACACGTTGGGGCTCCAGAGGGGGTGTGGGTGACACGTTGGGGCTCCAGAGGGGGTGTGGGTGACACGTTGGGGCTCCAGAGGGGGTGTGGGTGACACGTTGGGGCTCCAGAGGGGGTGTGGGCGACACGTTGGGGCTCCAGAGGGGGTGTGGGCGACACGTTGGGGCTCCAGAGGGGGTGTGGGCGACACGTTGGGGCTCCAGAGGGGGTGTGGGCGACACGTTGGGGCTCCAGAGGGGGTGTGGGCGACACGTTGGGGCTCCAGAGGGGGTGTGGGCGACACGTTGGGGCTCCAGAGGGGGTGTGGGCGACACGTTGGGGCTCCAGAGGGGGTGTGGGTGACACACCCCGCACAATTAAATATTTTGGTTAAAAGTATTACAATAATGTAAGTGCAATAATACTAATAAAATAAAATGGTTCTGCCAAAAGTTTCAAAATAATATTAAAGCTGTGTGAGGATCATCTGTTTTATGCTATTATGACCAAATTATGAATAGCAGAAAATCTATGTAAATTTTTTCGAGACCAGCGAGTAATGGGGTATTACTGTAAGAAAAAAACATTTTTTGAAACTAATGTCTTCAAAATATTTAGCCCGGTGTTGGTGGCCGGCAGTGCCAAAAATCGTCGCAGGGGTCAGAATGTGACCTGGCAAGCTGTTTCCTGTTAAACTTTTGTGTCCCCGATCAGCCTATGTTTGCCCCGTACCCCAGACCATTACGCTGCTAAGTTGGGCGAGGCTAGCCCCAAGCTGTAACGTATCGGAAAATGAAGAAGAAAAGAAAGGATGAGGGAGGTAGAGAGTTTGAAGGGAGTAGTGAGCAAGAGTAGTCAGGAGAAAGGGAAAGTTTGGAATGAGAGGGAGAAAATGAGATTAATGTTGTTGTTATAGTTCATCTACTCGGAACAACTTCCAAGTAGCACGGGCTATGGTGAGCCCGTAACTTATCTGGCACAGGAGTGGGGCAAATAGCACGGGCTATAGTGAACCCGTAGTGGACTTACCTGTCACGAATGCGATCAAGGAAAGTAGAACAGTAGAAAGTAAGATTACTAGAATAGTAGAGAGATAAAAGGTTGCTGCCACCATCCATTCAAGTTATTTATTTATAAGACAAGGAATGGAACTTGTCTTCACAACAGTATGATCTGATGTTAAGACTTGTAAGAATGTGCAATTCATATTACCAAGACTCTTTAAGTCATAATCTTAAGCCAGTAAGCTTCAGAGTGCTCTACACTCTAGCTTTCCAAATCCAAGATCTAAGGATCACAATTAAAGGCAATTTAAAACTAAGTTCATAAACTATATATTTGCCATTGTATATTCACGCATATGGGTATCATAATTCAACCTTATTGCCTGATATTTGAATGTTAAGATTAAAAGACAAATTTGAGTCACCACACAAGAAATTGAGAGCACCTACGACTGACTAACCCTGAAAATCACACAACCCATAAGTTGGTAAACACGATATATGACAACCTTACAAATTCCCTCACCAAGTTCTCTGAGACTAAGTTGTGTAGAGAGGAGGGCGGTACAGCTGAGTGACCCCATCCGGCCTGGCACAGTCTGGCTGCTGGCCTCTCTCGAGTAGCGGTCTGGCTATCACTGTCCTCAGTGTCTCAAATGTACAGTTCCACGGGCATATATGGAGGAACTGGGAGCTAAACTTTACCTACAGGAAATACCCTCTGGCTAGATTAATCCACTTAAGAATGGGCCATGACGGACCGAAACGTCGTCGTCCCATCACGTTTTAGTGTGTGGTCTGGTCAACATACTTCAGCCACGTTATTGTGACTCCTCGCCTGCACCCTCTGGCTATCTACCTATCCCACCTAGACAGCGGCTTGTTTGATAGGAAGACACAGTCAACCGGCTACAATTATCAGCTAAGCAGAAAGCTAGGTCACTTCACGTGACCTGACCCGATGGCAAAATGTTACAATTAACACTTGAAAGGCTTGACTCTAGAATAATTAACGGGTCGACAACCTGGCGTTATCGATATCCTGTGTGACTGAACTCTCGTTTTATGGTCAATATTCTTAAACAAAATACATTTATGGTGTTACATGGCATCTGGCCTCTAACCTGGCATAAACAAACATTCTCTCTTACAGACATAGATTGCTCTACCTCATAAATTCTTGATGGTCCTAATAAAGTTCTTGAAACTTTTTGAGAACTTAAGTTTTAGAATAAGCCTAATTAAACTTTATTATAAGTGATGAGACAATGATGTTCTCTCTGTATTTATGATATTTTATTCATTGAGCTATAACAATATATATAATGTTGATATCGATATATATCGAATGTTAATATCAATGTGCGCGTATCGCTATCTTCCATGCTCCTCATGTTATGTGATAATTGGACTTGTTTGCTGGGTTGGCCAAGTAGCGTCCCGCAGATGACGGATCTTTATCCTAAATGTATTGACTTTTAAACTAGACATGTTTATGGTCTCAGGTGGACTTGCCTTCATGTTTTGGCAGTACAGTTGGCATCGTTCTCGAATCAAAAATCGGGGATCCCGGATTCGATTCGCGGGCACGACTAAAATGGCTGGGAACGTTTTCATTTTTGCAATGTCTCCGTTCACATAGCAGTAGGAATATTTATAATATCACCAGTCTCCGTGGTGTAGTGGTAATACACTCGCCTGGCGTCCCGCGAGCGCTTTGTCATGGCTTCGTATCCTGGCCGGGGAGGATTTACTGGGCGCAAATCCTTAACTGTAGCCTCTGTTTAACGCAACAGTAAAATGTGTACTTGGTTGTAACAACGATTCTTCGCGGCAGGGATCGTATCCCAGGGACCTGCCCGAAACGCTACGCGTACTAGTGGCTGTACAAGAATGTAACAACTCTTGTATATATCTCAAAAAAATATAAAAAATCAGTAGATTTTAACGGAGTTAACCTCCTGCCCACCTACTACACTGTTCTCTCCCCTCTCTGTAACTTCCCGTGGCCACTACCTTAACAAACACAACCGCAAATAAATCCTAAGACATGTACCGTAGTTGGGATTAACTGACTCGGGCCGTCTAGTCCAGACCTTCAAGAACTACCGACCATAGTCAAGACAAATATTGACAAAAAGCATCTGGGTTATATCTCTCCACAGTGGCTCCCTGTCAACCCTCAAGATGACGCTGTCAGAGACACGACCGTCAGGACAACTGTCATGGAAGCTAGACCTACAGTCATTTAACAGTCACTGTGTCTCAAGTTGTATTACTTGGTTTGCCACAACGGTCAAAATTCAGTGTGCTAACCTCGCCGCCCTCCTCACCTAACATACCAAACGGTGACATACGTAGATTTTATGCGAGCCGTTAATTTCAAAATAGGCTCCATTTTACATGCTACTCTCTCTGGTTATTGACACTGTTATGGGGGGGGGATACTGACACTGTGGACGGGGATACTGACACTGTGGACGGGGATACTGACACTGTGGACGGGGATACTGACACTGTGGACGGGGATACTGACACTGTGGACGGGGATACTGACACTGTGGACGGGGATACTGACACTGTGGACGGGGATACTGACACTGTGGACGGGGATACTGACACTGTGGACGGGATACTGACACTGTGGACGGGGATACTGACACTGGACGGGGCTACTGCCACTGTGGACGGGGATACTGACACTGTGGACGGGGATACTGACACTGTGGACGGGGATACTGACACTGTGGACGGGGATACTGACACTGTGGACGGGGATACTGACACTGTGGACGGGGATACTGACACTGTGGACGGGGATACTGACACTGTGGACGGGGATACTGACACTGTGGACGGGGATACTGCCACTGTGGACGGGGATACTGACACTGTGGACGGGGATACTGCCACTGTGGACGGGGATACTGACACTGTGGACGGGGATACTGACACTGTGGACGGGGATACTGCCACTGTGCACGGGGATACTGACACTGTGGACGGGGATACTGACACTGTGGACGGGGATACTGACACTGTGGACGGGGATACTGACACTGTGGACGGGGATACTGACACTGTGGACGGGGATACTGCCACTGTGCACGGGGATACTGACACTGTGGACGGGGATACTGACACTGTGGACGGGGATACTGACACTGTGGACGGGGATACTGACACTGTGGACGGGGATACTGACACTGTGGACGGGGATACTGACACTGTGGACGGGGATACTGACACTGTGGACGGGGATACTGACACAAGAAGTTACTGGTCCTGGACTTGGCTACTGACAGTACAAAATGGCCACAGACATACCGATATACCAAACACGTCGTGTTTTTAGCGTATAACTATAAAAGACATCATTGTTACGGTCGTTCTTGTCGTTTTCGTACAAATAATCCAACTCAAGTTTTAGATTTTGTGTTAACGAATTTTCTCAAATTATACTTCTAATATGAAGCTATCTTTCGTGTTCGTAAATGACGATAACCAGATAACCACACGTCAAGCCTGCATACCTAGGTCGGGCTTGGGGAGCAGAGGGACTTACAGGTTACAAGGTGGACTTACAGGAGCGCCATACTCCAGGTATGGCGCTCAGTGACACGTAACTATTGAGTTGGTGCACCTGAGTGTTTCAGCCGAGTGAGATGGGTTACCTGTTTGTCGCCTTTAATATGTGTGTGTGGGGGGAGGGGCAGAGGTCGTGAACTATTTGAGAGCAGCACAGTTCCTTGTGCTGCTCGCCATTGAAGCCGAATACCGTCAGTGAACCACGTATTCGCAGCCCATTTCAAGACTATACTGTAAAATCACACCAGGTTTATGTACTTGATTTTTACTAGTTGGTGGATGACTGTTGATTATTTAAGGTGTGATACATGAAGGGGCATTGTATGTTCAGTGTACGTGGGTGACAGCCACTCAGTCATGTGAGAGGAAGAGGAGCCCTCTGAGTATCGTCTAGAAATATAAAATACAGACAAATTACACACTCACCGATACAGGTTGTGAGGAAGGTTGTTTTGGACGGCTTGAAGGCGTTGGAGCACCGTCCCTTCCCACGAGTTCCGTGGGGGACAGTGCCCATGGCGTAGGGCTGGGTACTGCGCATAGTGTGGGTCTGAGGAGTGCCAGTTGTGTGGGTTTGGGTCGTGCCCATGTAACAGGGTAACGTAGTGCCTCTGACGCGAACGCAGTACTCTTGACACTCCACGCTAATTCCCTGAGGTGTGTGGGGCCGGCCACGAGACGCAGGTGGTGCAGTACAGGTCCCCTTCAGGTCTATCATGACCAGGGGTATCACGCTACAGTACTGGTAAACAACGGGCCTTGCGACGCTACTACAGTTTCGCTCCTGGTCTGTGTTTAACCCTCGGGACGAGACGGGTGCTCAAAACTGGGTAACTCAGGAAAGCAAGAACTGAAGAGAGCGCTTCGGCAGCCAGGGATTGACAGGGACTTAAGACAACACTGGTAATGTAACATTTACAACATCAACTGAAAGCAGCACATCGATCACATGGGACCGGCCACACCACATGCCTTGAGTGGCTAAACCGCAATGATTGCTTTAACTAGAGAATGCTAGAAGACTAGTGGTTAAGTAGGGGGGGGGCCGTAGTAGGGTGGCTGGTCACACATGGTTCCCGGGGGTGGGTCGGCTAACACAGGCACACACGAGGCGAACTTCAACAAGTTGTTCTTTCCCGAGGGCGTTAAACGCGTGCAGGCGCTGCTCAGGGGGTAGGGACGCCTACACGTCCTGTGTCACAGACTAGGGGACATGGGCGCCCGTCGCCGCCGTGGGCGTGGACGTGTGGAGAGGGCGTGATATGAACGGTGATGGTGACAGAGACGGCGGCAAATAGTCCACTCGGAGTGAAGGCGCGCCGCTCACTGGCTGACCTACCGCCAACACTGTGGACACCCCGCCTCGCTCCACCTCCACACCGCCTCCACATGTTTCGCGCCCCTCACCCCATACCCACCTCTCTTCCACCCGTACCCACTTGGTCTGTTATAGCCTCACCATACCCACCTGGTATCTTCAACCTTCTCCACGCTCACGTAGTCTCTGCCACCTGTACCATACCCAGGCAGTCTCCTGCACCAACACAATACCCACCTTCACAATTCCTTCCTTCAGGAGGACTCAGTTGCCCCTCCGTACTGCACCATCTTCTCCCTGCTTCATCGACACACTTCTCTCCTGCAAAACATTCAACTTAAATACCTCCCGCCTATTAAACAGGCCCTCCAAATACACGTAACCCCCCCGCCCCCACCCCTTCCTAACACTAACTACCCGCACCTCTCATTTGAAAGTCCTTCCTCAAAGGCCACACACCAGGACCAATGACCAAGGAATAAGGAAGTTAAACCCTCAATATACAGGTGGAGATGGCGTGATGGTCATGGCAGAGGACTTGCAGGAGACTAAGGGTTGGTGGGGCCGGACGTACTTCACAAAGCCTTATTGTAAGACATGACACATACTGTGATAATCACTTGGAGCAATGAGGTGACTGGAGCCAGTGATCAGGGTGGTCCCAGCTGGTATGAAAGTGTAGTAATGTGTTGTGTGAGGTGCTGACCGTGGTGAGCTGAACTGTGGACGAAGCAAGTGTTCAAGACGTATCTCGGCTCTTCACTCAGTAGATGCAACAAATTAACTTCATAAGAACCCCCAACCCACAAATTTGGAAATAAAGAATTGTCGACGTTTCAGCCCAAGACAGACCGTCGTACATCACTGCGATGTCTGAATGCTAGAAACATCTATAAACCATGATTAGTTCTGATCTTACGGCCAAAAATCAATGCATAAATGTGCATAATAAAGCAAATTAGATACTGGGAAATATTTCTCTAAGCGATAAGAACAAGACATCTAATGTTAACCTTTACCGTTATCCTGCCCGTGTTAGGACCCATGTAGAGGATGCACTTCAGTGTTGGAGAGAATCCCAGTTAATCCCAGGAACTGGAAACCTCCCTTATGAAGAGAAATTAAAAAGGCTTAACTTACATTCCCCTAGACAGGCGAAGAGTGAGGGCCTGACACGTCTGGATGTAATGGTGTAACACAACTTACATAAATAAGGTCTTAGACATATCAACACAAAATAGAACACCAAACTAAATATATATTGGATAAGTTTGGATTCATGAAAGACCTGGGGAAATACTGGTTTGGAAACAGTCATTGATTTATGGAACAAATTCCTGAGTAACATATAGACGTATGGCAAATGGGTTGTTTCAAGCGCAGGTTAGACATATATATGAATGAGCGTGGGTGGATATAAATAAGAGCTGCCTCGTATGAGCCAATATGCCTTCTGCAGTTTCCATAATTCCAACATTGTAGCGTCATTAGATAACATGTCATGAGGGTTTTCAGGTAAACTATTGTGATAAGGACAATTGAACTAAAATGATAAGCAAAAACGATAAGCACGAAAAAGAAAAACAAAACAATAAAAGAATAAAACTTGAGATGTCTGGAATCACATGATACAGTTATGGATTAGTTGGTAAGATGTAGCTGTGGGTGCAGCTGTGGCTCGCTGCTGCTGCAACATGCATCACAGAATAGTGATATGATATCATCACCACACTCCCTCTCTTGTACTCTATTCTTTCTCTCTTGTCCTCCTCTGCATCCCCCCTAGTCACTCCCGGCCCAAGCATGCTATACTCTGCCAAGCCACTCCTCAGTATTCCACACTCCCCCAAGCCACTCCCCAGCACGTCACACTCCCCCAAGCCACTCCCCAGCACGTCACTCGCCACCAAGCCACTCCCCAGCACGTCACACACCACCAAGCCACTCCCCAGCACGTCACTCGCCACCAAGCCACTCCCCAGCACGTCACACACCACCAAGCCACTCCCTAGCACGTCACACTCCCCCAAGCCACTCTCTAGGATGTCACACACCACTAGGCCACTCCCCAGCACGTCACACACCACCAAGCCACTCCCCAAAGTGCCAAGACACCCCCCCAAGCCATTCTTCTTGTGCTGGCGTCTTGAGTCCAGTAGGAGTGATAATCTGATTTCGTGGTGTGTCATAAGAAAGCCCAGCACGGAGCAATTTCTTGAGGGCAACACAGAGTGAAGGGCTTGGTTGGTGTGCCGGGCGGGCCTAGTGGGCGAGGGATGTGTCTGCCAGCACGGGCCCAAGCTGAGAGGCAGTAAGTAAGTTAGTAATTATCAAAAGAAGACACCAAACCGGGAAGGCTGTGTAGCACCAAGCTGAGAGGGAGATGACTCTGCTAATATTGCTGGAGCTCCTAGCTTGTATTGACCTCGTGATATCGAGCAGGAAGTGTTGATTACATGGAGTGTGTCGAGCAGGTAGTGTTGATTACATGGAGTGTGACGAGCAGGTAGTGTTGATTACATGGAGTGTGTCGAGCAGGTAGTGTTGATTACATGGAGTGTGACGGGCAGGTAGTGTTGATTACATGGAGTGAGACGAGCAGGTAGTGTTGATTACATGGAGTGTGTCGAGCAGGTAGTGTTGATTACATGGAGTGTGACGGGCAGGTAGTGTTGATTACATGGAGTGAGACAGCAGGTAGTGTTGATTACATGGAGTGAGTTGAGCAGGTAGTGTTGATTACATGGAGTGTGTTGAGCAGGTAGTGTTGATTACATGGAGTGTGTCGAGCAGGTAGTGTTGATTACATGGAGTGTGTTGAGCAGGTAGTGTTGATTACATGGAGTGTGTCGAGCAGGTAGTGTTGATTACATGGAGTGTGTTGAGCAGGTAGTGTTGATTACATGGAGTGTGTTGAGCAGGTAGTGTTGATTACATGGAGTGAGACGAGCAGGTAGTGTTGATTACATGGAGTGAGTTGAGCAGGTAGTGTTGATTACATGGAGTGTGTTGAGCAGGTAGTGTTGATTACATGGAGTGTGTTGAGCAGGTAGTGTTGATTACATGGAGTGTGTCGAGCAGGTAGTGTTGATTACATGGAGTGTGTCGAGCAGGTAGTGTTGATTACATGGAGTGTGTTGAGCAGGTAGTGTTGATTACCTAGAATGTGAGGAGAAAGCAGTGTTGATTATCTAGAGTATGACAGTTACAACACGGCACAACCACTTCCGACTGGTTACCCTGTGGTCATACCTTAATGGTTAAAATGTACCTTTATTATCAATTACATTTTGGTCATTTATATTGTAATGTCATTATATACACGTGTATGTTACTGTATGTTGTTATTTTGTATATTATTATGTTATAATGTGTTGTTAGTGTGTGTTAACTGCTAGTTATAGGCGTCGGCCGGCGCTGCTTCCGTCACCAGACGCAGCGATTGGCCAGTAGTGCTGATGCAACATCCCCCCTCCTACACCCCCCAACACCCCCCACCCCCCCACCCCCCTTCTTGATCCACCCCCCCCCCCCCTCCTTGTCTGTGTGTCACAGTTACCAACTTAAACTTAAGTGATGGTTCTTTATTCTAAGTGTGTGTGTGTGTATATATGTACTGTCCAGCCCAAGTGGCTTGGGGATGATACTTATAAGAACTCCATCTTGCAAGACGCAGCAGAGTACATGTAGGAGAGGCTGTACATGACACAAACACACGCCCTAACGGAGGACAAGGAGTCCTGGAACTGAATTAAGACGTTAAGAGAACGATGTAACGTAAGGAGAAGGTAATTATGAAGGGAAAACGCTAAGCCGGTATGACTATATGTAGTCTAACACATAATACAGTGAATGAAAGCTTTGTATTTACTCCGTGACGGCGAGCCTTGATTAGCATAATCTTGCAGTGCAAGAAGAGATAGCCGAGGCCCAGCTATCTCGACAAGATTTACTCTGAAGCAAGCGGCCGTCGCTCTCTCTGGCGTCCTCTGTGGTGGACATGTCTAATGATATCATATTTCCAGGTCACCGCATCCTGGCTTGCTTGATTTTGTTTACTGTTTTGTAATGTTGGTGAATATGTTATTTAGTAAGTCTAAATAACATATAAATAAATATAAATAACGTCTAAATAAATTTAGTTTATATTTACATTTTTCGTAGTATATTATAACATTTACCAGACATAACATTAAAGCAAAACTATGGCAGATTTTAATCAGAGGCAGCATGGCCGTTGGACTTCCTTTAATAACGCCTTCGACATGTCACTTTGACAAAGGGTTCTTAACCTTCAGACAATTATAAACCCCAAGTGGATTACGATATGTCCCAATAACCTTATCGTCAGACTCAAAATCAGCATTACCAGTCCTATTAGGTTCTGCTATGATTTAAATACATGCCAATATCTCTGCTTTACTGCAAATAACAAATACACAGGTTAGATATTACATGTGAGATTATTTATGTTATGTTTGTGCACTTAAAACATGGGATGGTCTAAATCCAAGTGACTTAATTCTAATCTAATAATAATTTTTTTAAAATTTTCACATAGTGCCCTATCCCGTGTTCAGAACCCTTGCAGTAGAATACCAGTTGTTAGCATGGCCCTGTCTTACTCTGCTGAGTTCCTCGACAACCTGACACTCAGCTTAGTTTTAGTGTGACTTGTGAGGTGGAGAGTGAAGGTGGAGTGCCTTCCCTTGATGTAACAGTCTCAGAAAGGAATGGTGACCTTCACACTGCAGTCTGCATTAAGGTAACCAAGTGATGACCAAACCTCAACTCAGAAGATGGAGAAGCGACGACGTTTCGGTCCGTCCTGGATCATTACCAAGTGGTCCTGGGCAAGTCCGGGATCATTACCAAGTGGTCCTGGGGAAGTCCTGGACCATTACCAAGTGGTCCTGGGCAAGTCCTGGATCATTACCAAGTGGTCCTGGGCAAGTCCTGGACCATTACCAAGTGGTCCTGGGGCAAGTCCTGGATCATTACCGAGTC